AACAAACTACAGCAAGTCAAATTAATTTCTACATTTTCAGACACATTGGTCAGCAGCACTGGAACCTGATGGGTGTGTAGGTTCACCATTCTGTTTTACTCTGTAAACAAATAATTGTGTTAGCTCAGAGCCAAATCAGCATTCAGCCTGCTCACCAAGAAGTTCAAATCAACTTTGAAGCTGCTGTGGATAATTTTGTGGACTGGAGCAACAACCACAAACTTCACATAAACACAATTTGGACTGTAGGGATGCTGCTGGATCCCAGCTCCCCTCATGACCAGAGCTTCATGACCATACTCAATAACCCCATAAAACAGGTGACCTCATACAAATACCTTGGTGTTTACACTGACAGTGACTTAAGCTGGCAGACACAGACGGACACCATTTGTGCCAGAATCCACCAGCACCTTCCCTTTACAGGTATTCTGTTTTCAAAAACATTATGTTGACTTTTTACAGAGCAACGATCTACATCCTCAGGTACAGTGTCACTGGTTTGGGAACATAACAGTCAATTCTAAAACTCAGATTCACCATTTAATAAGAACAGCAGGCAAGAACATGAGTCATACACCTCTTAACCTCCAGGAGCTCTTTGTGCAGACAGTCATTTAACAGGCGAACATTTGAACTGACAGCTGTCATGTCTGACACACAGAATACACCCTGCTGAGCTCAGGGAGGTGTTCCTCTGTGTAAACACAACAGGTACAAACATTCTTCTGACCAACAATCGATTAAAATCATCAGTGAAGAAATACAATTTTAGAATTCAATAATCTATGTATGGTTAATTCTGCATAACATTTTTCTAAAGTTAGCATATTTGCAAATTGATTTTTTTTATTATAAAATATCATGAATTTATTGTTACAGTTCCATTTTATGTGCGTGTGTGGGGGGGTAGGTGGGGGTGGGGGGTTCTGGAATGTTTCTTTGCTGCAATGCTCCTTTAAGTCAAACAAAGTTTTCTTAAGAGAGACAAATAAAGAATCTTGAACCTTGAATAAAAAAAAACCCTTTGGTGACAATTTCTATTTGATAAAACTTTAGCATTGCACAGTTTATTTATACTCACAAGTCTACTGGATGTAATATTTGCCAGATTTTTGAGTCTGGCTTTGCTTTAACCACCTAAAGAAGTAAATGTTTGCTTGGACCATTGTCCTGTTTAAGGTCCTGGATCTTGTTGCGTTGACACTGAAACACAACTCAGTAGCAATAGCTGTGTGAGTGAAATACTCTGCATGTGTCTACGTGCACCGGCGTCTACCTACACCAGTGTCTACCTGCACCAGTGTCTTCCTACACCAGTGTCTACCTCTACCAGTGTATATCTGCAATAGTGTCTACCTGCACCAGTGTCTGCCCTTACTTTTGTATATCTGCAATAGTGTCTGCCTGCACCAGTGTCTACATGGACTGGTGTCTACCTACACCAGTGTCTTCCTGCAACAGTGTCTACCTATACCAGTGTATATCTGCAATAGTGTCTACCTGCACCAGTGTCTGCCTATACCAGTGTATATTTGCAATAGTGTCTACCTACACCAGTGTCTACCTACACCAGTGTCTACCTGCACCGGTGT